TAGGGAGCTCTAGTGCACAAGTGGTAAGAGGCAGTGTTGCTAACCTCAGAGTATGTGGTTCAAATCTTTCAGCTGTTCTATGGGGAAAAAGCCCACCTGTGAGATTTACTGTTTCTGAAAACCCATTGAAGGGTCAGTTCTGACTCCATGGTATATAATAATAATAACAACAATGGCTTAGTGGAAATCGTCAGGAAGAAGGTATGAAAAAGCAGCACTTTAAGTTAGAATTTATACTTATAATTCATTAGAGAATTGATATTTATACTTTTTATTCATACTTTTAATCCATGCAAGGAATCATGCTTATTGGAATAAAAATGTAGAAATCATCATAGAATTTAGTGTCTCTACAAAGTAGTCTTTACAATCCCCTGTTTTCTATATTAGAAAATTAGACATAACGTGAAGAGAGTGTAATTCATACTCAAGAAAAAGGAAGTTAGTCTAAACCAACTCTTATTTAGACCAGATTTCAGTTTAATAGGCAAAAATGTCAAAATAGCTATTTTAAGTTACTTCATAAAAATATATAATTAATAAATAAGCCTTTTTAGTACACAGATGTGATCATGTAAATAAAACTAGAAATCTTACAGCTGAAAAATACTTTTACTGAAGTAAAATAATTTGTAAACAACTGAAATTAATTTGCTATCAATGGTAAAATTAAAGCTTTTCAGAAAAAAAAAAGAATTTTGAGGAATTTGTATTTGCTAGTACCTGAAGTGCTTGCTGCAGAGGGTCAAGGACTGCAGTCTTCAGTATGGACTGAAGCTCAGTGTCAGGAAGACAAAGATTCTCACCACTGGACCAATTGGACCAATTAAGAAGAGAAAGATTCTCACCCCTGGACCAATTGGCAGCATCAGGATGGATGGCAAAGAGATTGAGATTGTTCACAGCTTCAGTTTGCTCGGCTCCATGGTCAACACTCTTGGCACCAGCAGCCAGGAAATCAAAAAACGTATTACGATGGAAAAGTCTGCTGTTAGGGACCTCTCTAACGTATTCAAGAGCAACAGTGTCTCTCTGGAGACTAAGGTGCATCTGATACAGGCCATGATCTTTGCAATCACTTGTTATGCATCAGAGAGTTGGACAATGACTAGGGAGGATAGAAAGAGAATGGATGCCTTTGAGCTGTGGTGCTGGAGAAGAGTATTGAATGTACCATGGACTGCCAAGAAAACAAACAGATTCATCCTGAAGAGGGTTAAACCAGGCTACTCCTTGGAGGCAAGGATTCTAGGGCTTCATCTGACATACTTTGGACATGTTGTAAGGAGGGACAGGCCCTTGGAGAGGGACATCATGCTTGAGAGGGTGGAGGGACGGCGCAGAAGGGGAAGACCCTCTATGAGATGGATTGATTCAGTGACTGGAATAATCAGGATGGATCTGTCAGAGGCAGTGCTATTGGCACAGGATAGAGCAGGGTTTAGGGCTGTTGTACATAGGGTCGCTATGAGTCGCAAATGACTCGACGGCACATAACAACAACAGTACTTCATCCTTAACTTTCCTGATAATTATCTACAGTAATAGCAGCAAATGTGATTTTTGCTGTTTTATAATGAAATTTGTCAGCATTTGAGGAATTTTACAGATCTTACGCAGAAAGAGCCATTTAAAGTGCAAGGTAAAGCAGTAGGTTTTAGTGTAAACAGAGTATAGGATCTCATCCTAACTAAGTTCTGATGTGAGAATTTTTTTTAAAAAAATTTTTTTTCATTATTGTTTAACTTTTCCTCCATGGCTGTTTAACTTCCATTATCAATATCTTTCTAAATCCTTTCTTGAATCTCTGGGGCTTTGAAAACAATACATACACATTTATACATATCTTTCAATACCTGTATTTTCTCTGTCTGCCTCTCTCTTTTTGGTTTTGTGTGACTCACTACTGTTGAGTAAGAACCAACTCAGAATTGACGCTACAGTAGGTTTTCAGAAGCCTCTTTCTCCCTCTGGACCCCTGGAGGATTAAATCCATCTCAGAGAGACGCCACCTTTGACTTAGCCAGAAACCTGCTGGAGGGTCAATTATGAGTTGACATTTCTGACTCAGTGGCCATAGACTATGTGTCAGACAATGTTTTTTAAATCCATTGACTCCTGCAACCTTTTTTAAAAAACAAACTTGACAAGGTAGGTATTACCAACAACTTTTTTGCAAGTGACAAATTAAGAAAAGCACACAGGGTTCAGAGATTAAATGACTTGTCTGGGGTCACACACTAGTAAATATCAGAACCAGGATTCTAAAACCTGGAATTCCTTTCCACTGGGGTTTTTATTCATATGTAAAAATATGCAAATCTCTCATTTACTCCAATGATGATAAAGAATTGGATAGCATTCTTTTGTCAGTTAATAAGTCCACATAGGGAAACTTCCAGGTCATCTGGATTATCTCTGAGAATGGGATGACAAGTATACCCAGAAAATTGTTGTTGTTAAGTGCTGTCAAGTTCAGTATAATGACCCTATGAACAACAGTTCTGTACTACCCTATTCTGTTCTCATCATCTCTCGCATACATTAGCACATTAAATGTGCTTCTGATATACATACAGTCTGAACAGGATAAAATTGATGACTGAGACTTTCTAAAGATTAAATTCCTGTGTGCATCAAAATCTTTTTCCAATAGAGTGAAAGAAAACCTACTGACAGGGAGAAACATTTAGCAATACCATTTCAGACAAGGATTTCATAACAAATGTTTATAGAATACTTCTGGGCTTCCAGAAGAAAAAGACTGATAGCCCGATTACAAAATGTGCAAAAGACATGGAAAGACTTTTCACAAAGGAAGATGTTCAGATGGCCAATTGACATATGAAGAAATGCTCAAAATCACTAACACTATGAAAGAATGGAAATAAAAACCATAATGAGATGCCATCTCACCCCAGAAGCAGCGGCAAAATTTACTAAGACCGCAAACAATAAATGTTGGAGACGATGTGGAACTCTCATACACTGTTGGTGGGATTGTAAAATGGTACAACCACTCTGGAAAACAGTTTGACATTTCCTCAAAAAGCTGAACATAGAAATTCCATGATGACCCAGCTATTCCACTACTAGGAAAAAAACCTCAAGGAAATTAGAACTGAGACACAAACAGAAATTTGCACACCAGTGTTCATAGTAGTGCTGTTCACCATCACAAGAACCTGGAAACAGCCCAGATGACCAACCACAACTGAATGGATTGAGAAATTTTGGTACATTCATACAATGGAATACTATGCAGCATTAAGGAGCAACTATTTCAAAAAATACTGCATAACTTAGCAGAGACTTGAAGACATTATGCTGAGTGAACTATCTCGGTCTCATGAGGACACATACCACATAAGACCATTATTTAAATATAGAAGGGTAACTGTAAAACGTGTGGGAATCAAAAAGGGAGAGGGTAGGAGCAAAGGAGTGAGGATACGTAGCGGCAAAATCACAAGGTTGCACAATTTGGTGGGTGGAAGTTGGGGGTAAAGGAAATGACCAAGATCTGGTGGAGACCTGAAAAGGCAGAGTAATTATGGGCAAGGTCTAATGGTGATTAATTTGATGAATCATAATAAATGTGAATGAGTGCATGAAACACAATGTGAATGAAGAATAGTGTGAAGTGTAGGGCAAACCAATAGAAAAGAATTTTTAAAAAAGAAAAAAATTTGTTCTTCTGGTGAGGCTTTATTAAAGAAAAGAAAAATGACCACGTGATTGAACATTGGGAGGACAGTGCTGTTTATGCCATGGATAGAACTTGTCTGAATTCTGGTCAGCCAGATACAGTGTGTTGTCAAGTACACTGCTTGATATTTCTAATGGCAACCTACCTCCACCTTCTCCTCCTTTGATACTTGTTTTTAAGCCTTTCATTTTTACTAGAGAACTTTACCAGGAATGTAATAAAGCACTAATTCATGTTTTTGCTACTTTTCTTTACCTTTTTTTTCATGCTCAGAGATTATCAAGGGAGAATTGTTCAAAAGGTGTTAAGAGGCTTTTAATATGGTCCGCACAGTCAGTTACTGTGTTGTTCTGAGTTGTTATTCAGTTTCTGGGATAGAACATTAAACAAAAGAGCACTGAAATCAAAGAATCATTGAAGTTAGTTTGGCTCACATGGTGTGAAAGAATTATGAAAGTGGTAACTGAAAGAAATTCATCCAGATTCCCTCCCCCCGTCTTGTTTATAATATTCTATTGAATGCACTTGGCAATAACTTTAATAAAATTTTTATCTACTATGTGGCATAAGTTAACTACCTGAATTTATAAAGGATATTTATATGTGTAGTGAGTTCATTTTCACACTGAATTAATACATTCTTTGACAAAACCCCATCTATTTGCCGTGCCATTCTCAACTTCTCCTATGCACTCTTTTCCTTCTTTCCCTCTGCCGTCTCCTCAGCTCCTCCTTTTTCCAAGTCTTGCTTGGATTTGAATTTAAAAACAAAAGCACCTTTATATAAATAACCTTGTATAATTCCAGTTGTATTCTCAGATTTAACACTATTGTGATGATAAAGTCTCCAAGACAAATGTTACTGCACTCTGTCTTCAGGCTTTTTATATTTTTTGGCAATATTTTGGTGGTTTTGGAGCTAACACATGGAGAAGAGCTCTAACACAACTTTATCTTAGATTTTGGTTGCTTAGTGATGTAAGTCCAGTTACCTGGGTGGACTGAAACTGTCACTCTTTCTCGATATTGAGTTACAGGGACTTACCAATGCTTTGCTTTCTGAAACATATTTTATGTTGTTACATTTTTTAAATGACTTTGGTTTTTCTTTATCTTTGTAAATAGTTGAGGTTCTGAAAGTCACTTAGAGACTGTTATATAATAAAAGCTCTCTAATTTGAAACTCTCAATTAGGGGGTATATCTGGACCTAGAAATAAGACCTAATTATTCATCAATTCAGTTCTTAAACTATAATTTCCCTTGTGGGTTTGTTTGGTTTTTTTTTTAAGACCAAAGACGAAGAGGAAGCCTTTCTGGACTGGAGTGATGATGATGATGATGGATTTGACCCCAGCACACTTCCAGATCCTGATAAGCTCAGAAGCTCTGAAGATTCGGATAGTGAAGATACAGAAAATAGTATCAGGTGAGTTTTAACATTGGTAACAGTAAGTATGTAGGACTTCTCCTCTTACTAGATCCAGGAGTCATTACAATGAATATTACTCTGAAAGATACTTCACTTTTACTAATAGCCTAGAAAGTTCTGCTACTGGCTGGTTGTTTGTTTTTTTTCCATTCTACCTGTAAATCATTCATTCTGCAAGTATCATATGTTCTTGTGATCATTTTCTTTAAAAGAGAAACAAGCAAATAACCAGAAAGGACCATTGCTGCCACTCACAGTGGTCTGTGGGACTTAGTGAACTTGCTGTGCAGGGCTGTAAATCTTCACAGGAACAAACTACCACGTGTTTGTCTCAAAGAGTAACTGTTGGGTTTGTCTCAAAGAGTAACTGTTGGGTTCGTAATGAACTGCTGACTTTTTGGTTGGCAGCCAAGATGACTTGATAGTCTTTATTTCTATAGTCTAATTTATATCTGTAATTGGTATGATATGATGACAGTGTTACGAGCTGCCGACTCACAGGGACCCCATAGCATAGAGATGTCTATAGAATTTTCTAAGTATAATTTTTTAGAGAAGCCCGGGTAGCACAGTGGTTAAAGCACCCAGCTCCTGCCTATAAAGTCATCTATTTGAACTCCCTGTCCATTCCATGAGAAAAGAAAAATTCGCTTCCATAAAAATTTATATCCTTGGAAACCCTATAGAGCAGGTGTACTCTGCCTTATAATGTATGCATCTTTTTTAGTTGAAATAGACTCAATATCAGTGGGTTTCTGATAATCTTTATTAGGTCAGTTTGAACCACCAGCCTGTCAAATAGTAGCCTGCTTAACCAGTGTGCCATAAGAGCCCCTTTATGAGGTGATTAAGGTTGCGTGTCAGCTTAGCTAGGCTTTGGTTCTCAGTGGTTTGGCACTTAGGTGATGATGTAATTATCCTTCATATCTGAGGATGATCACATCCTCAAGGTGATCACTTTCATGACGTGATCAATCAGTAAGTTCTAAGGGGAGTGCCCTTGGGAGCATAGCCTGTATCCAATATGTATGGAAATTCTGGCAAAAATTCACTGACTTGATTGTTGTGCATCCTGCAGCTGACCCAGTTACATTGTGTGGTGATCTGAACTCTTGTGTATATAGGGTATTTTGGGTACCAGTACTTCCAGATTCAGCCTTGACCTCTACCCACTAATTCCAATGTTATAGACCCAGTGAAGCCATTGAAATATTTTTGATATTTGATTGTTTGATGAAGGAGATTTATTAAAGTATAAATCGCTACTAAATTGTTCTCAAAACCTTCAGTGAAACATGCCAGAACAGATATTGGGAGAGTTGGAGAAATCTAGGTTTGAGAGAGAAGACGGTAGAAATACTTTGATACCCAAACATCTTTGCTCAAAGAGAAGAAACTCAGATGAAAGTGTTTAAGAATCACATGAAAATTAACATCATGTTGAATTTGGACATTAACTGAAATGAAAGGAAATGGTTAGTTCTTAAGCTGAATAAAAATTGTCTGTTTCCAGTTTCCTACAGTATCCAAAAGTATAGCATGCCTGTAAAAACTTAAATGTAAATTATAAAGCAATTACATTAATTTATGTAGGGAAAAAATAACCTACCAGCTCATACCGAATAACATGTAAAACCTAAAATAGCACCAACATAAAGTGTTCACAGATATAGTTCAAAGTCCTGGTAGCTTGGTGTTGATTTATTCATTCCCAGGGAAAGAGCTTGCTGCAGTACAAACACTGAACACTAGTTTTTCTTTTCACCTTTTTCCCCATAAAGATAAAACTACTCTTTGGATTTCTTTCAGGTATCAAAAACATGTAAGCACACAGGTCTTTTGTAAAAATGAACTGGATCAAGTGAACTTTTGTAAAGCAAAGATACTATGTTGAGACTGTCATTAAGGGTTTTATTACTAATATGAAGAATAGGAGATCTGTTAGCTTAGTGGGTAAGAAGATGGCATTGCCAACCCAAAGGCAGGAGATTCTAATCCACCAACTGCTCCACAGGAAAAAAAGATGAGCAGTTTCCTGTTGTGTGATTTACAGCCTCTGAAAACCCACTGGAAGATCAGCCATGGGTCAGTTCCAACTCTATAGCAATGAGTTCTTTTCGAAAGTATATTTAAGAGCTGCCTGCCAATTATTATTGTTGTTGTTATTATTATTTTGGCCTGTGATATAGAGATTATTTTGTCCAACCCATCTTTTTCAGTTTACAGAAAAAACTCAAGTATTGAGTGCTAAAATAATTTATCATAAAACAAGTTAGAGACAGAGTGGTATGTTCTGCCTAAATGAAACAGATTCCCTGTTTCTAATAGGGAGCTCTGGTGGCCTAGTGGTAAGAAGCTGTGCCACAATCCCAAAGGCATACAGTTCACATTTACCGTCTGCTCCGCAGAAGGGTGGACAGTCCCTTCCCATGTGGTTTATTGCCTCTGAAAACCTGCTGGAGGGTCAGCTATGGGTCAGTTCTCACTTAATGTCACAAAACAACAACAGCAATTCTAATACCCCAGTCAAGTTCTTTACAATACCTCTGGTTGCAAGATAGGGAACCTTGATCTTCATTTCAGTGAACTTTGTAGAATATACTTTGTTCTGCTGGGAACTACACAGTATTATATGGGTTTTTGTTAAAGGTTTTGATAGACATTTATATCTTTTGAGGATAAAAAGGCCTCAAATATTACCAATGAGTTTAAGATCATAAATGATTTTTCCCTTTTTCAGTCTCAAACAGTCTGCATTATGTAGTTACAGTGCTTTCAAAATAAGAGCCATTTTTTAAAAGTTTGAGTATATGTTCCCTAGAGCTGGAATAGGAAACTTCTGCCTTATTTAAACCAGAATCCACTAATTTAAGAGGTGAAGATACCTGCCTGCCTTTTCAATCTACCTTCTTGCCATATTTCTTTCACTTTAGTACCTATCATGTGCCAGGCACATAAAAAGGATCAAACATTAAACTAGAAAAACCTGTCTTACCTTCACTTTGCAGTTCAGGAAAGGAGTCCCAGTGACACAGTGGTTAAACAATTGCCTCCAAATGGAAAGATCAGAGGCTCAAACCCACCAGCTTCTCTGTGGGAGAAAAGAGCGAGTGATCCGCTTCAGTAAATATTACAGCTCAGAAACATTAGAGGGCAGTTCTGCTCAGCTTTATAGGAGCACTGTGTGTTGGACTAGAGTCAGTGTCATCCACCAACACAGTAGCAGTTACAAGTAACTAAGCAAGTAATACAAAACAGTATGGTGGGTAAGTGCTGTCATTTACACACAGAGGGAGAAAAGTGGAGGAGGGGAAGAGTGAAGGGAATATGTAGGCAGTAGGCATAGAAGGGTTTTACTAATGACCTAAACGAAGCTCAGTGGTTTGAGAATAGCTTCCTAATGGATATGATGTCTAAACTAAACATGAAGTAAGTTGAAGTTTTAATTGGGCAGTAGGAAAGGTAAATTGCCCTTCGAAAGACTGTGTCCTTTGAGGTGGAACAAGACTGCCATCGTGTAGAGGCTTTAGCAATATTCCAGTTAAACCCTTCTTTCCGTGAAATGATTTCTTGTAGCTGTGCCTCACAAGCTAAGAGATTTGGCTCAGAGCACGTAATATAAGATTAATTTTTGTATATCTAGTAGCATTCATCACGTTTGGTTTATGGCCATCTTCATGTGAATTGCTAATGATGTGGAAATTTGCAAAGTATTGAATACGATAAAAAAGAAGCAGCTGGATGTTCCAAATATTCATTACCCAGTCAAATTAGCCTTTTAATATTTATAATCTTAACCTTCAGACATGAAAAGGGAGAGAAAAGGATTATGGTTAGACTCTTACTATGTTATATCAGTCTTTGCTCTATATCCTGTAAGTCCCTGACTTAACAGGTGACTTGAAAGGATTCCTGGATGGTGGGGGTTGGTTATTCTAGGTGGCATAAGACCAGTAACATCGGTAATCTTTATTGAGGCTACTGGCATCATTTAAGGGTGATGGGTTCTGCATAAATTGGTATCTTTTCTTGTACAGAGAAAACTGGTCCACCTCACCTATAACTGTTGTTGTTGTGTACTGTCAAGTCAGAACCAACTCAGCTGACCTACCACTGGGTTTTCAGAGACCGTAAATCACACAGGAGGCGCTTCCCCATCGGAGCTGGTGAATTTGAACCATGTGCTTTCGGATTGGCAGCACAGTTCCTTACCACTAAGTCATCAGCGCTTCCTATAAGTATTAGCTCATTCTTTTTACTCGGAACTCTGAACCAAACAACTGATCAAGGGGGTTTTAGGTTTTTGGTTGGTTTTTTTTTGGGGGGGGGAGGCTCTATATGTTTGTTTATTTTTATTGTTTTGGTTTTACAAGTATACTCCATATTTATTTTCTGGGTTTGCTAAATTTTTGGCCAAGAAAGATTTTGCCAGTTTCTAAAAGGTCTGGAACAGGTGAATTTTTAATCTCTGCAGTTTGGCCCTGTGTTGAAATCCACTTAGAGCATTTTGTCTAAAAACAATTCCGCCAGGGTTTTATAGCAGTCTTCCTGATCTCTAGAAGGCATTTTATTCGGAAAAGAAATGGATACAGACGACAAGAGTTTCTGGGAAAGTAAAATTTAGTAGGCATTTTTCTTTTCCTCTTAAATGGGGTGGGGACGAGCATGTTACATATCTTGTATAAATTTTACTGGGATTATTAATGTTGACTATAGGGAATGATACTTCTAAGAGTTTTGGTGTTTTTTATAATTACTCAGAGCCTACGTGATTGTAAAAGGAAAATTACAACTGACTGTAATTTCGGTTTGAACCTGTAATTGGTGAATCTAATTGTGGGGGGCCAGATATGTAAAGAAGTTGGGTTCACTTCATGGTATATTGACTTTATTTATTGTGTCATTATTTCTTTTTACTTCCTTTGAACAAGAAAAATTTAGTATACTTGTGCTCACCACCTCCTACTATGCTTTTTCAGCTTTTAAGACATAAAAAT